AGTCTGGTACAGAGACATTCCAATATATCTGAATTTTATTGACTAGAGCACAGGGTCTTGCAAATGAATTACCCTCAGGGTCCTTTCTAAGGCTTTCTTCCTCTGATTAAGATGTGGAATTCCCATAGACAATCAATACACTTTTTGTTTTCCACGGTTTGTTCCTTATTATCTCATCTCTTCTGCTGAGTAATGAAGCCGATCTCCCAAGGGCCCATGAGTGGTAGAGTGATTGTGCCACAGTGATTTAATCTCAGTAGCAAACGCTGGAGTGTAAGTCACACTTATGGGACAATCTGAGCAATCCTCAAGAAACCCTATGTTTCACCTCAGCAGCTTCACACCTATGTTAGCACCGGCAACAGATAGATATTCAAAATACATGCTATTTTATCTTTTGTTACTCTTTTATTTATTTATTTTTTTTGCACAGTTTTATTTTGCTATTTTGTGGGAAAGGAAACTAAAAAGGTATTTCTCTCTATTCATAGCCTTAAAGGTTTTATGGCCGAAAAATCTTATGTTTGAATACTGGGGCAAAGGGATGCTTAAAGCAGACCACTGCCTAAAATTCATTACATAAGAGCCAAACAAAGAGTCACACAGTGGAGGGTTATGGCTCGGGGTCGGGTGACAACAGCATATGATTCATGGCTCTCTGTGCCCTTTTGTCATGTCCTCCTTGTAGAGGAACCATCCACTGCTTTTAGCCAGTGTTATTTTACAGCCTTCAGAGTTTTGCTCTCTGTCTGATGCGAGTGAACCCGCAATGTCATTTTCAGTGTCTTATTCGTTCCAGTCTATGCTGGATTAAAGAAAGAATATGCCTTATGTCACCACGAGATGTTATTTTTGTACTCATTGTCAGGATGTTGCAAATGATAAGCAATGAGCAGTTGATTTTTATACACCTGTGGAGTTCTATTTTTAAAGAAAATAGAGCTATACTTACTGATCTAAATACTTCTCTAAGGGTTGGATGTATATTTAGGATTAATAAATATCTAAAACAGCCTCAGGTCTTGTGCATTTAATGACTTTTTTATTCAAGAATGTCCTACTGTATATGCTTCACAGGATGATGCTACCACAGCCATGTTTTGTGGTCCAAAATATGTTTTTTTTTCTCACACATATAAAGTAAAGTTGCTTTAAGCATGGATAACAGCTATTTTTAAATTAAATCATAATATTTTTTATGATAGAAGTGATGCTACATTTTTTTCAAATTGGGAGACTTCAAGGGCTGCATAATGGTAAAGTAAGTGATGTTACCAGCAGCAACAAGGTCCAGGGTTCAAATCCTAGCTAGTGTCTTTTTGCATTGAGGTTTCTCCAATGATGCCTATTCAGCCTTGTTCCCTCTGGATATTACGGCTTCCTCCCACAGTCCAAAAACATGACTACATAGGTTGATTGGCTTCCCTAGAACTCTGGTTTGTGTGTAGTTTTGCATCTGTGTGTTTCCCTGTTAGTGACTGGTGAACAGGGTCCCCCATGCCTAGGCCAATTACTGCTGGAGATCTGCACCAGGCATCCCTAACCCTGCAAGAATAAGTAGGTAGAGACGAAGGATGGACAAACAAGGGAATTTTAAGCATGATGCAGCCTTTTTAGATTTGGAAAAGCTGATAGATTTCATTATGATTGACACTGTGAGTAAATCTCCTTGTAAATGCCCAACGGCATGTCCAAAAATGGCACACATTTGCTTGTTCAAATACAGTACATGCATGCACACTGATCTCGAAATAGAATCAAAACTCTTCCCTTTCTTTGCAGAGAAGAGAGATAGGGTGGGGGTGGGGGTAGGGGGTTAAATCAAACAACTGCTGACAGCAGCTGGAGGAACAAGTGGTCCCTCTGTTTGGCACTGTCAGCTCGCATGTGTCTTGTCAGTCCAAAGACAAGAAAACAAAAGCAACCAAAGCAACAAAGCAACTGCTTTACTGTGGATTTCATGTCAGAAGTTTCTTGAGATCGATTAAGTAAAGTGTATCTGCAGTGGTAAATGTATTCTTCCTGCCTAACTAAAAACTAACAAACAGCAAAAACATCACTCTGTGGTATTTCGCAGATGTGAAATTGTAGGTAACAATGTGTGAATCAGTCTAACCTGTCATAGACACACTGAGGTTTTCCAGTAATGATGCAATGACTCATCAGTGAGTAAAGGATCAAAGGGAGCTTTGTTATTGTCTCGCCCACCTCATGCTCTCCCTCTATATGGGACGAAGGCACAGACATCCACGTGGGAGTTCCCCTTCCTTGTGATGCCATTCATGGAGCAGTTGTTTACAATAGGTGGAGGTCACTCTAATTGGCTCCTGTGGTCTTTTAGGCAGTATTAATAAGCTTAATGACCCTTGTTTTAATATTTGAGGTCCAGCCTCCTGTTTTCTGATCTGTTGCATATTCACATCACTGGACTGTGCTAAATTATTTATTTTCGTTATTTTTCATTGAACTTTGCTTTAACCTTTTAAACATCATTGTCAATGATCTTGAAGAAAACCCCAACAGTAACTTACAATGGGTGTATCTCTGCAAATAATGTGATGTTCATTTTTTTTTCAATATTCTGATTTAAAAAGAGAAACTAGGTTATTTAGCTGCATCAGACTGATATTTAAAAGTTTGTTTCTTTAATGCTGATTAATAAATTGTACTGCTAACGGAAACTCAACTATTATGGTACAAAATAATAGAAAAAGATTCTTTTAAACTACAGATTTTTTTGTTGTTGAGACAAATAATCGAGACAGTTGTCCAGCAGCCATTTTGTAAGACATCCTTAGAGTGGAGTCACAGAAATAAAGTATCTGGCTTTTCACCGGATATTACTTATATCTATTCAGAAAATCTAGAAAAATAGATATATTATACATAGAGTTAGATATTTCAATTTTTTACATTTATTTTGTTGATTATAGTTTACAGGTAATCAAAACCTGAAAATAATGTCTTGTAATATCAGAATATTGTGAAAAAGATAAAAACCAGAAACTCATGATGTCTAATAATCGGCTGATGAAAGGTCTCCCAGTCTGGGTTAGGCACCACACAGCCATGAGGAACACTGCTGACTCGACAACATCAACCAGAAGACAGTCATTGACACCTTCCACAAGGAGTGTGAGCCACGAATGGTTAATGTAAAAGGTGGTGTTTGTTAGCAGAGTGCTGTATCCAAACATGTACAGAGAAAGGTGATAGGAGGTTAAAATTGTGGTAGAAAGAAATGCACCAGCAGCGGCACTGCCTGAGGCCTTAAGAGGATTGTCAAGAAAAATCCATTCAAGAATATCAGGGAGCTTCAAAAGGAGTGGCCTGAGGCTGAAAGCAGCGCATCAAGGGCAACTATTCACACAAACCGATCCTAAAATATGTGCTGCAAGATACCTCGGCTTAGGAGAGAAAAAACAGCATTCTCCTCAGTGCTCTAAAGTCCTCTTTTCAGACTAAAGTTTTCATTCATTTGTAAATCAAGAATAAAGAATCCAGTTTCCATGTTCAGTGTCGATTTGAAATGTAATTTTATCTGCTGGTGTTGAATCATTATACTTTTTAGAGCGCACAGACATCTATCAGGACATTTTAGAACAATTTCTGCTTCCTTCTGTTGAGGAGCTTTATAGAGACGGTGATCTGAGAGTCCAACAGGTCTCATCTCTGCCATTAAAGCTGGTTTAGCGACTTGTTGCAAAGGACTTGTTGGCTCTCAAACTGGCATGACTTGAACCTAATAGAGAATCCCCGGGTTACAGTCAAAACGAAGAAGAGAGACACCATAACCAACAAATCAAATGACCGGAGGGTCACAATGAAAATAACCAAACCTTCCCTTGCCCCTCAGCAGAGGGACAGGATTGATAGAGTAATTTACTGCATGCTAGAGGAGCTGCAACCAAGTATTCATTGCATATAATTAAACTCACATTAGTTTAAAATATAATTTTTAATTGCTTCTAATGAGCATTTTTGCAAGTCATAAGACAGGCCAGTTTGGCATTTATTCAATGGATCTGAACATAACTGGATTTAGTGCAACAGAATCTTTTTTATCTGGGCTAAGAAATCAAAGGACTGGACTGATGCACATGAGTTATGAGTATTAAGTTTAGAATAAATAATATTTTGTGTTCTATTAAAAAAAAAAAGGTCCAAGAGAAAACTGGACATGAACAAAATTCTAATTATCATGCCACAGTGATGCAGAAATTACTCAAAAAGAATATATGACGTCATATTCTTATTTTCTGAAAAACTGAATTTGGGGTTTTCATCTTCTCTAAATCATAATAATGAAAAACAAATAGAAAGAGACACATTATATATTTTTATATATAAAAAGCATTTTCACTATGAAATAACTTGCCGAAGTGAATAAAATTTTCAGTCACTAAAGTGGCTTAAACCTTTTTTATATCTGTATTTTTAGAGCAGCTCAGTAAAATCGAACCATTGTGTCCAACTTTTTTTTTTCTTTCTCTTACAGGCAGAACTATGTGTGTCATTTTGTGGTCAAGGCTACATGTCTTTGCATTTCGAAAGAGACTGCTGCTCTGGTATGTGATAATGGGTCACATCTGGTGAAAAATCAGCTTCTGGAATATGATGCATCCTCAAAACACTCATAAACTGCGCACTATAAAACTAGTAAACATTTTTGGAGCCAGCCTCATGATCCATTATACTTACAGCTGTAAAATAAATTGAAACTGACCAAAATTTCAATAAATAAAAATGATAAAAAATGAAAATCATGATATTGGTTTTGACTATATACATGCATATGTATTTATTCCCAAGTAAAACAAGTAAACAAGCCTGAGGGAGCTTCTGAACTAACATTTTTATTGAGCAACACTTTAAGACAATAAATTAAATTAAGTGTTTTCTCTTTTCTTATTTGAATTACTAGTGTGAATCCATAGTTTTCTTTAATGGGAGGATATGCAGCCTTTCAAACTGTATTATTCTATCCACGTGCTGACATGTTTTTTTTTTTTACACCACAAGGACACAAATGTATTCACTCCATGCAGTACATTTTCCATGCTTGTCATTTTCTGGGAGTCACGGTTGGTATGTGCCAGAAGGACTCATATGTTGGATATGAGAGCCAGAGCAAAAAAGAAACTATAACCTTGAGGTATCTCATCAAGCATGGCACCCTCACAAACTGGGGTGACATGGAGAAGGTCTGGCATCATGCATTTTATAAAGTCCTGCGGGCCTCTCCTGAGGAGTATCCAACCCTGCTGGTAAAAATGTTCCCCCTTAACCTAAAGGCAAAGAGAGAAATGAAGATTCAGATCATGTTGGAGACTTTTAAAGTCCCTGTAATGTACTCCTACGGCAGTATAACCTGGGGGACACCATGGCCCCTGAAACCATTCCCAGCTGTTTAAATTTTCATTACTTATTTTAATCTCCTGCCAGTGTGGAAAGAGTGCCCTTTTAGGCTATACAATGTGTAACCATTGTTGGAGCTATGGCTTACACTATGGCTGATTATTGATATTGATTTAAGTATCTGTTTCAAAACCTTCAATTAGAACCAAACAGGAGCACACCTTTAGAATTCTGTAATGACTCTGGCAATAAGGTGGCAAAATCTGTAGACTAATCAAACCTGAACTATATAAATCCACAATGCATATAGATGGAAAAACAAGCTGTGATTAATTACTTGGTTCATTAGTTGCAGGTGTTGTTGTGGACTCTGCTGATGGTGTAAACAACAATCTACCTATCTAAGACAGTTATGTTCTTCCTCATGCCATTATGCACCTGTACTTTGGATGTAGTGACAGATTATCTAATGAAGGTTCTTACAGAGTGAGGATATTCTTTAGTCAACGCAAAAGCAGTGAGTGTCAGCTCCTAAAAATGTGCAAGATTTATAGGATAAGTTTTCCAATAAATCCTGTGCATTTTTAGGATTGTACAACCTGGAAAACAAAATGGACCTACTTATTTTTTCAACTGCCCATCTGGTTACTCTTTGTACACATATACCAAGACAGAATCAAATCAAATTTAGTTACCATTTAGTGAATCCCCCAAACTGTTGGTTTTCAAACCAGTGGAGAGAATGTTGAATATCTACATAAAGCAGTGCTTTTTCTTCCCAAATGTTTTTTTAAACCTTTATTTTAATTCTCCTTAATCTGATAATCTGCAGCTCAGCATGAGATGTTGCATTAAAACAAGATGAATCTTTGCAATGTGGTTCTAACTTTAAAAATGAGATGAGAAGAATTACGTAATGTTATAATGTGTAACTGGATATAATACTGAATACTATATCTTTTATATCTTTTATGATATATATATACACAACCGTTCAAAAGTTTGGGGTCACCCAAACAATTTTGTGTTTTCCTGAAAAGTCACACTTATTCACCACCATACATTATGAAATGAATAGAAAATAGAGTCAAGACATTAACAAGGTTAGAAATAATGATTTGTATTTGAAATAAGATTTTTTTTTACATCAAACTTTGCTTTCTTCAAAGAATCCTCCATTTGCAGCAATTACAGCATTGCAGACCTTTGGCATGTTAAGGTAATCTGGAGAAATTGCACCCCACGCTTCCAGAAGCAGCTCCCACAAGTTGGATTGGTTGGATGAGCACTTCTTGCGTACCATACGGTCAAGCTGCTCCCACAACAGCTCAATGGGGTTCAGATCTGGTGACTGCGCTGGCCACTCCATTACCAATAGAACACCAGCTGCCTGCTTCTGCTCTAAATAGTTCTTGCACAATTTGGAGGTGTGTTTAGGGTCATTGTCTTGTTGTAGGATGAAATTGGCTCCAATCAAGTGCTGTCCATTGGATATGGCATGTCGTTGCAAAATGGAGTGATAGCCTTCCTTATTCAGAATCCCTTTTACCCTGTACAAATCTCCCACCTTACCAGCACCAAAGCAACCCCAGACCATCACATTACCTCCACCATGCTTAACAGATGGCGTCAGGCATTCTTCAAACATCTTTATATTTGTTCTGCATCTCACAAACATTGTTCTTTGTGATCCAAACACCTCAATCTTGGATTCATCCATCCACAACACTTTTTTCCAGTCTTCCTCTGTCCAATGTCTTTGTTCTTTTGCCCATCTTAATCGTTTTCTTTTATTGGCCAGTCTCAGATATGGCTTTTTCTTTGCCACTCTGCCCTGAAGCCCAGAATCCTGCAGCCGCCTCTTCACTGTAGATGTTGACACTGGTGTTTTGCGGGTACTATTTAATGAAGATGCCAGTTGGGGACCTGTGACGCGTCTGTTTCTCAAACTAGAGACTCTAATGTACTTATCTTCTTGCTCAGTTGTGCAACACGGCCTCCCACTTCTTTTTCTACTCTGGTTAGAGCCTGTTTGTGCTGTCCTCTGAAGGGAGTGGTACACACCGTTGTAGGAAATCTTCAATTTCTTAGCAATTTCTTGCATGGAATAGCCTTCATTTCTAAGAACAAGAATAGACTGTCGAGTTTCAGATGAAATTTCTCTTTTTCTGGCCATTTTGAGCGTTTATTTGACCCCACAAATGTGATGCTCCAGAAACTCAATCTGCTCAAAGGAAGGTCAGTTTTGTAGCTTCTGTAATGAGCTAAACTGTTTTCAGATGTGTGAACATGATTGTGTTGGTTTTCTAATCATCAATTAGCCTTCTGAGCCAATGAGCAAACACTATGTACCATTAGAACACTGGAGTGATAGTTGCTGGAAATGGGCCTCTATCCAACTATGTAGATATTGCACCAAAAACACCACCTCCACTATGTGACTTTGTACAGTTCAGATCCAGTGATGTCAGGGTAACCAGAGGGGCAGTGAGGGAAGACTGCATCATCCCCCGGAGAAAAACAGCCTTTGGTCAGGCTGTTTTCTCCGTAAGAGCATCTCAACAATGGAACACAGTGCCAGAAACCATCAGAGACTCTTTGTCATTCTCTTCATTCAAAAAGAATGCAAAAAAATGGCTTGTAGAGAGCCAAATTTGTGGGCACTAAGGTTTTTAGTGTGTATTTAAATAATTTTACAATATATTTTTAATAATTTTACATACATTGTACTTCTTAACCATAATGTTTTTATGTAATTGGTATTGTAATTTAATCTTGTGATTTTATACTTGTGTTTATTTTTAAGGTTGCCTTTTTAATATCTGGCTGGGGGACTACCGATGAAAATTAGCACTCCTTAGCTAACTCTGGTATATTTACATTGTTTTAATGTTTATTAATGTACACTGTCCCCTTTCAAATAAACAATAAATGAAATGAAATGAAATGAAAAACCAGACATTTGCAGCTAGAATAGTAATTTACCACATTAGCAGTGTATACAATGTATTTCTTTAAAGTTAAGACTAGTTTAAAGTTATCTTCATTGAAAAGTACAGTGCTTTTCCTTCAAAAATGAGGACATTTCAATGTGAGCCCAAACTTTTGAACGGTAGTGTATATACAGATAGATCTAGAAAGGATCCAAACTGGTAGATTGCAGCGTAGTTTTCCACATTATTTCTTTCTTTTAAATTGAGGTTTCTTATTTCAGACAGAGATTTACAAGTTATGAAGTAAATCTAAAAAGCCTCTATACTTGATATCAAATAATTTATTTCAGGTTTATCTAAAGATGCACTTTTTTTTGTTATCTTAATCTTAATTCTTAAATTATTTTCCTCTTTTATTTTGCTTTCACAAACTGAAAACACTTCTATCAGTCTTGGATTGTTATGAAAAATCTGTTTAGTCTCTCTTTATTCACTTAAGATGGTCAGAGACTCTACTCGCTACTTTAAAACAACAGAAAACTTAGATAGTCCTGCAATGTGACCAAATATGATCAAATCACTTTTTAATCAACAACCAAGATCAATATAAAAGAAAAAAATTCCTTTGACTATATTTGTGTAACATTATAGCTAAGTTGTTAAAAGTACAAATCATCCATCTGTGACTATGCTTATCTTCAGTTATGTATATCAGGGTTTTCACCTCAGGTATACAACCTCATGAGCGCAGCTGTTGGTGGAGTTGTCCAATTCAGCCCGTCTGACAGCTGGTTACGGCATGTTCCTCCCAACGGTTTATCCAAAATGTACTTAGCTGTTAAATTCAAAGATATGGAATTTTCTTGAATTCACAAAATTATCCACAACAGATTTATGAAACACAGCATCAACATCTGGTAGAAGCAGTATGCTAAAAACCTCCCATACTTGACCACCATATAAAGCTGATCATATAAAGAGGTCATTACTCCGCCCTCGACCATCATGAAAAAACTTGATTCTAAAATATCAAACCATACATCGTTACAATCTTTCATATGTATGTTTTTGGTTTAAATACTTACTTTCCCTGAGATATTCTCTTGGCTTGATCCTCGCCTTTTTGTCAAATTGCTAGCAGATGTGAATCAGTAAGGAGGACAACAATAAGGATTAGACCTTCTATTGTACAAAGGAGTTTTTCCTGAGGAGGTTTTTTTCTTTCTCAAACGTCCCCTATTATCTTCCAGCAATTTACATTTCTCAAGCTTTGTTTTTTCCAAGTGGAATTTCTATTTGAATATAATGATATTTTGAAATAAATCATTGTAAAGCAATTGTCTGTCTAATTCAATTCAATTCAATTCAGTTTATTTATATAGCGCCAAATTCACAACACATGTCATCTCAAGGCACTTTACAGTTCAACCAGATCATACAGTCAAATTGATACAAAGTTTTCTATCTAAGGAAAACCAGTTGATTGCATTGACTCATTGACTCAAATACAATCCCCCACACTAAGCATGCTTGTAGCGACAGTGGAGAGGAAAAACTCCCTTTTAACAGGAAGAAACCTCCAGCAGAACCAGGCTCAGTGTGAGCGGCCATCTGCCGAGGCCGACTGGGGTTCAAGGAGACAGAAGCAGAGATACAAAAAGCAGCTGTAAAAGGCGGCCCCGTCCAGGAAACACACAGCCAGGCAGACGAGCTCCAAGGCAGCTCCCATGCCAGAGGACGAAGAGAGCACATCCACTCAGTCACGGTCAGAGAAACAGGACCACACTGGAAAACAGGCCGATCTCCAACATCTATTAACAAGGGTGTTGATAGAAGCAGCACAGCTGATGTTTTTTTCCAGGATGACGTCACAGCCAAACAGGAACAGACGAGGCAAAGCTACTCTGAGGAAAAGCAGAGAGAGCAGAAGGTTAGAGATTGAACTAACAGATTCTGCAGAATAGGAGAACAGAGAGAGAATGAAGCAGAATGATGAAATGGGGGTCCCTATGTCCTCCAAAAGTCTAAGCCTATAGCAGCATAACTATAGAGATAGCTCAGGATAACCTGAGCCACCCTAACTATAAGCTTTATCAAAAATGAAAGTTTTAAGCCTAGCCTTAAAAGTAGACAGGGTGTCTGCCTCACGGACTAAAACTGGTAGTTGGTTCCACAGGAGAGGAGCCTGATAACTAAAAGATCTGCCTCCCATTCTACTTTCAGAAATTCTAGGAACCACTAGTAAACCTGCAGACTGAGAGCGAAGTGCTCTGTTAGGAACATAAGGAACAATCAGATCTCTGATATAAGATGGAGCTTGGCCATTTAAGGCTTTATATGTGAGAAGGAGGATTTTAAATTCTATTCTTGATTTAACAGGAAGCCAATGAAGAGAAGCCAGGATAGGAGAGATATGATCTCTCTTTTTCATTTTCATTAGAACTCTGGCTGCAGCATTTTGGATCAGCTGAAGGCTTTTAACTACAGTTTGTGGACTTCCTGATAGTAAAGAATTACAATAGTCCAGCCTTGAAGTAACAAATGCATGGACTAGTTTCTCAGCATCACCCCTGGACAGGATATTTCTAATTTTTGCAGTGTTCCTCAGATGAAAGAAGGAAATTCTAGAAACCTCTTTGATATGGGATTTAAATGACAGGTCCTGATCAAAAATAACACCAAGATTTTTTACTTTATTATCTGAAATCAGTTTAATCCCATCCAAATGAAGTGACTGGCTAATCAGTTTCTTTTTCAGAGACTCTGGTCCAAAGACTATAACTTCTGTTTTGTCTGCATTCAGAAGCAGAAAGTTAAGAGTCATCCAGGTTTTTATGTCTTCAAGACATGCCTGTAATCTATGTAATGGGTTAGCTTCATCTGGATTTATAGACAGATATAGCTGGGTATCATCAGCATAACAGTGGAAATTAATCCCATGCTGTCTAATAATTCTACCAATTGGGAGCATGTATAAAGTAAAGAGAATTGGTCCTAGCACTGATCCCTGTGGTACTCCACTTTTAATAATTATATTCATTTCTCTCTTGCTGCCTTGACCCTGGAACGCTTTTTCAGAGCTCTGTCCTTTCCTCACGCGATAGCTGAGTAAAGGTTATTGAAGATTTGAATTAGAAAAGATTACAGTGAGGGAAGAGGATCAGCCACCTCATGAGAAACGTTCATTTAGTGACAACACTGGGTCATGTGACCCATAGCGCTGGACTGAACGAAGCAAATAGGAACAAGTAATAGAGTTGCTAATATTACAATTTACAGGAATACATAACATCATTTAATAATCATTACTAATAATGGTGGTGTAATAATTAGTTAAACATAAGCTTTCACTGTAAAGTGTGTTGATACTTATCCAATTAAGAGTTCTAATCTTTTTAGGGTATAATACAACTAAAGAAGCATCCAAATTTTTAATGGGCTTTAGACATAAATTCGAGGCTTTCAAAAAAAAGCTGAAAAAAAGCTCCTTTGAGTATTTTGGATTAAGGCCAGAGGCGGTCTCAAAGGGAAAGTTTAATTTGAACTTTCAAATGGGAGCTTACAGCTAATCTGGGAAATAAAATTTACTCTTCAAAGATTAGATTATGATAAAACCAGATTCTAAAATGCTAAACTAATTGAAGTTGTTATTAAAGGATTAGAAATTTTTATGATTTACCCCTCAAAATAAGAGCATCAATATTTCTTTGCCTTGAAAGTTTCAAAAGCAGACCTGTTGTTACTAAGTAAAATGAGGTAGTAAAGAAAAACAAGAAAAACACTTTTCTATTGATTTTAAATTAAAAAAAAAAACCTCACCAAATAAAACCAATCTTTACAATGTTCACCATCATTTTAAAGCCACTTACAAAAGTAATGTAACAACACATTTATTACAATGGTAGGGCTACACATCTTAATAGGCTTAAAATTTTGGAGACACTAGTTAAACTAAAATAGCGATAAAAAGACAAATACATATATATGCACACTTCATCAGAGTACATCCAATGCAGTGTGAGAAGTTGCAATCTCTGGGTGTTATATGGAGCAAATTAACATATTTTTTCTTCTATTTTCAGATGTCAGTGAGAGAGGCAGACGTGGAGGCAGACTGCTTCATAAAGAAATTAACAACTCGGATGGTACTTCACTCTGTCACTGTATCCACCGCGTCATCTTTGCTCGAGGTGGAAACAACAGATCTGCCATCCGGGCCAACAGCCTGTGACATAGGGAGGGATACCTCTGGGCAAAAGAGGATGCTGTTCTCTCCCAGAAAGAGAGGATAGGCTCCATTTAGCCCAGAGCAAACTCTATGGGGTCTAAATGTAGAATAAAAATAGAACAATTGTTTTTTTGGGTAAGGTTTTATAAATCACAACTAGGCCAGATGATTTAAAGATTCATAGTTGTTTTCATTGTGAATTTTACATAGTTGATGGTTTAGGCAACTAGTATATGTAATGGTTTTAAAAACACAAAAAAACCACAACCACCGAGCCCTGGTCTTTTTATAAGGAGCTTGCATGTTCTTCCCCATGCATGTGTTAGTTCTTTCCTCCCATAGTCCACAAACATGATTGTTAGGTCAGCTGGCATATCTAAATTACACTTAGATGTGTGTGCAGTTGTTTGTCTGTGACCTATCCAGGGTTAACTACATCTTTTGCCCACAGAATGCTAGAGATAGGCACTGGCCACCCATGACCATGGTAAATAAGTTGCAGAGGATGGCTTCAATTCAAAACAAGGAAGACTTTTATTTATTTATGTACTGTTATTGTTTCATAAAGCAACAAATTTACCTCTGACTCCCTCCTTCCTGGCTGATACCTAAAATACTTGCAATGTTTACATCCTTTTATTTTGATTTTGCCTGCTAAAATCCCATTGCCTTGTAAATACAGCTTGTGTAATTTGTTATCAGCCCTTTCTTTTGTTTATGTCCGTCAGATTGAAATTAAAACCAGTTTTAATACATATGAGATTCTACAAATGTATTACTGAACATTTGGTAACAAACAAGTAGTAAGTCATCGTTGAAACAAAGTCAAAGAAAGTTATGATCCAGGTTTGTTAAAACTGTGAAATGGAAAGGATGTCCAAAAATCTGCTTTGGGCAGATTAGGTAAAATGTAACTTTTTTCTCACAAGCAAAATACTTGTAAGTTTGGAAACATCTTTCATTTCACAACATCCTGACCTCTTTATTCCATTTGTGACATCAGGTGGTGGCACCATCATACTGTGGGCCTGCTTACTCCAGCTGTGAAAAAACAGCTTGTGTAGTGTAGATAGGACGATTGATGAAGGAAAAACCAGGGGAAATCTTGGTAGAAAACCTGCTGCAAACAGCAGAAACCTTAGGCCATGTACAACGCTCAGCTTACAGCAGCTCACTGAACCTACAGTCATTAAAAAATGATTAGACCCCACCTTTTTGTTATGTACATTTCATTTGTCACTTATAATACCTTTAGATACAGAAATTGATTAAAACAACAGCAACAAAATGATTTTTCTCCAACTATAAACATACAGCCAAATTATGACACAAGGGTTTGCATCAAACGTATATCGAAACTTTTGGTGCTTATGTAAAACCTGCAGAGAGATATCCCAGAAGAGTATCTATCTCTTTGGAGCTGAATACACAAACATACTTTTGCAGATGTTTAGCAGTAAAAGTTACAAAAATTCAAAAACATTTCCTTTCTTCTTAGAGCTGTTTTTTTTTTCACATACCCAATCACATAAATTGAAGTTAGAGCTGTACACTGCACTACTGGTCAATGAAAGACCGAAATAAACAAGAATGTCACCTTATTCCATATAGACAAGCTGATTCAGAAGCATCATTCCTGGTAAAAATAAAAATAAAAACAGGAAACAAACAAAAAACCAAACAATTGAACAGCACGTTAAGCAATACACTATGGTCACAGGTTCAGTGGCCAAGTGGAGATGATCATGATCCTCTACACCTCTGAACAAACCAGGCCAGAACAGGATGTACAGAACATCCCATGTTTTATCCAAAACCTTAAAAAAGATATCCGAACCACTGGCACTTCTGGCGGAGCTACACCAACCTGTCCGTGCGTACGTGACGCACAGGAGGGGGTTTCGTGTGTGTGTGTGTGTGTGTGTGTTGGGGGGGCATAGTACTTAAAGGCGGATTAACGGTGCAAGACATTAAATCCAACCTGCCTCCATCCAGACACAGCGCGCAGCCAATCAACCTGATCTGAAGATCGAAAATAGGAGGGCTTACAGTAATCAGCCCTCAGAGTCTCATGACAAGGAACAGTGTGGCAACGTTGTGGAAGCGCTCGGCACACACAGCAGGACGCTCACTGGCACTGCGCTCTCAGCTCATAACCAACCAGATACCGCGAAGAGAGACAGAAGGGGGGGACGGGGGGACGGATGCATTTTTTAGCAAATTTCGGACGTTCTGGACTGTAGGAACATCTGAAGACAGAGAGAGACCGTGCGGGGAAATTAAGCCGTCTTTTTTTTTTTTTTGGAGGGATTTGCCCAGAGTGTCCTTGTATCTTTGTCTCCTCCGGATGATCAGAAATGGGGGAATGGACTATACTAGAGAGGCTCCTGGAGGCTGCTGTCCAGCAGCACTCTACTATGATAGGAAGGTAAGAAAATCTAAAAAAAAAAACCCAAGAACAACCGAAGAAACGCAGCAGCCTCCAGGATCGTCTTTAGCATGGCACCCCAGTCCCCCGTTTCTGTGTTGTTGGCTCCAGGATCGTCTGTGCCGTGATGTCCAGTGGTGCTTCGTGTCTGTGTTGTGGATTTTTTCTCTTGTCTTGTTCCTCAGATCTTCTTCTTTTTATTTTTATTTTTCCTCCTTTTTGTCTTCCTCCTAAACGTAGGCAGCTTACCTCAGATGACAGCTGCCTTTTTAGGAACCTGGGATGGCGCTGCAAAGTCAAACAACCTAAACTTAAAAAAAAAAAATGATAATAACAATAATAATGAAGCTGTTACATGTCATAATTCATCCGTTTGTTCATTTGATGGAGTTGTATGAGTTTGAGCAGTGGTACTGCAATCAGGGGAGGTTGGTAAGGAAGAGACATCACCTCATTTCATTAGCATGCTCACACAGGTACAATTCCAGCAATGTCGATTGCTGACGTGTCATGTTAATTAATTCTGAAACATCGACAGTCATTGTAAGATAGACATTTAAACGTGTGGTTTTATTACCAAACAGCTCATTTAACCATTTAGCTGAGCTCATATACTTTCCACATGTTGTTGGTCATGTTCTTAAATCGCTTCTTGCTTTTTTAGGATAAACTGACACCAATTCGATTTTTTTTTATCTCGCAAAACGTGCAGATTCAGCACCGGACAGCTCCTCAAAAAAGTCTGTCTGCACCGGCAGAGCTAAAGGACATCTGCTCTAAATACACAGACTTGCAGATTGTTACCTGTGGTTATGTTTGTTTGATTGCTTAGAAGATACAAATTAAATAACATTGCAAAAAAAAAAAAAAAAAAGAAAATAATTTTTTTTTTTAGGAGGGCTTTCTGCTTCAACCGTGAATAGCTATCTCAATGAAATCCAACCCCCTACATGATTTAAATATACTTCCAGCTATTCTACATAGTTTCTTTGCGTTTCTCATGTACATGTATAGTACATAATATTTTTTTATAACATTTCCAGAGCGTCCTGTTTCATTCATGGACAGCTAAATCCAAGCGCCCATACACTGAGCACATTTGATGCAGATATTTGCAGCATTCGCTTTTTAGGATCAGAAAGGCAGCCCTCTAAATTAAACACAAATGCCCATTAACTGAGTGCATATACTTGCATATATATTTAACATTGTATTGTTTGTTTTGCATTTTCCATTTATCTCGAAGACATCCATTATTTTTCCAAGAGCGTCCTGTTTCAGCACCGGACAGCTCCCGGGGTTGTATCCAAGCCCGCCCACACTAACGACATTTATTGCACATATTTTCACATTGTTGTGTTTGTTTTCTTGCTTTTTAGGATCCTACTAACAGTGGTGGTCATCTTCCGGATTCTAATCGTAGCAATAGTTGGAGAGACTGTCTATGATGACGAGCAGACCATGTTTGTTTGTAACACCTTACAGCCGGGCTGCAACCAGGCATGCTACGACAAGGCATTCCCCATTTCACACATTAGATATTGGGTTTTTCAGATCATCATGGTGTGCACGCCGAGCCTCTGCTTTATCACATACTCTGTACATCAGTCGGCCAAGCAGAAGGAGCGACGGTACTCCACCGTCTACCTAACACTGGATAAGGATCAAGATTCTCTGAAACGAGATGAAAGCAAAAAGATAAAGAACACCATTGTCAACGGAGTACTACAGAATACTGAGAACTCCACTAAAGAAGCCGAACCGGACTGCTTGGAGGTGAAAGAGATCCCCAACTCGGCCATGAGGACTACAAAGTCCAAAATGAGGCGACAGGAAGGCATCTCTAGATTTTACATCATCCAGGTGGTGTTTAGAAATGCGCTGGAGATAGGCTTCCTGGTGGGTCAGTACTTCTTGTACGGGTTCAACGTCCCGTCAGTGTACGAATGTGACCGCTACCCCTGTATCAAAGACGTCGAGTGCTATGTGTCTAGACCCACGGAGAAAACCGTGTTTTTGGTCTTCATGTTCGCAGTCAGCGGGTTCTGCGTGGTGCTGAACTTGGCCGAACTCAATCACCTGGGATGGAGGAAAATCAAGACGGCAGTGCGAGGCGTGCAAGCCCGACGGAAGTCCATTTATGAAATCAGAAATAAAGACCTGCCGAGGATGAGTGTGCCCAACTTTGGCCGCACGCAGTCCAGTGACTCTGCATATGTGTAATAAAAACAAAAAACAAACTTCAACCCCATGATGGACAGCTCCGCACGCCTAAAACTTGTGTCATGAGTTAAAAGAGTGGGCAGATTTATTTATCTATTTATTTATTAACTTCTTTTCTATTTGATTTGATGATATTTTATGGACTTTAAGGCAAGCGTTCTTTACACGCTCGTTTACCTTTACTTATGCACTGATGCAACTTTTTATGTAACGTTTTTACTCTGTGGAGACCATGTTTGAAGGGTTGGCAGATTTAATCTTTCTTGGGCTGCACTTGAAAAGCGCAAATGCAAAGAAAGAAGAAGGGAAACATGTAATATTGCACTAAAAAGGGGAACACATGAGAGCTTGATCGTATTCAAATGTGCTGGCATTTTTTTTCCCATCCATATTTCTGTTACATGGCACCATTAAAAAGGACAAAGAATATATATTATATATGGCATATTCCTACCAGATTTATATATGTCCATTATCTATATGAATCCTTACTGGTTAGCTAAAATACATCAGATTGTTCCACTCTTTTTTTTTCTTCTTTGTTTATGTTGCCTGTGTTGCACCACTGACCTTAACATATGTAACCATTCCATTGCTTTATAGCTATAACTCGCAAATAGTATCTGGTGAATTTGCTGCAAAACGCTAACGTCTGTGACCTCCTTAATTTAAGACACACCAAAGCGCCCACTGCTTTATTTGTGAGCATTTATTTTCTTGCTTTTTGTGTAATCAAGTGCCATACTTGTACACAGACATCATATAAATTATAAAGATATGTATACATATGAATATACATAAATATATAAATATAAATATATGATGATAATAATATTCATGGAAGCTGATTCCTTGCTTGGATTATGCTTACTACTGGCCAATTTCTTTTTATTTGCTCCAAATGTATTTGTTGTGGTTTGATTGAAGGAAATAAGATACTCAGATTATTTTTTGTTTTATTTTTGGAAATGAATAAGTAAAGAAATGAAGTGCTAGTTTTTTCTTATGCTAACAAGACTCCCTCCAAACACAGCTGTTGAAAACTGAAGAAAAAAAAAGCACAAAGTGAAATTTTTAATCAATAGATGGGCAATTGAAATCTGCTCTGGTGCTACAGTTTTTCATTGAATGGTTTTAAATGTAACCTTCAGAACCAGAAAGAAAGAAACCACAAGCATCTTTTTTTTCTGTAGAAAAATAAAAGTGGGATTCATGTACACCAGAAATGTGTGAGATGCGGGTACTTTGTGTTCCCTACTCTGGCTTCTTTTATCACGCAGATATCCTGTGGAAGTTGTGTCTTGCTGCAGTGAAGATGTTAGCCACACCCACTACTGCAGGACACACCTGGTGCAGAATCTCACTACTCTGCAATGTGTTGCAGTTCTGGTGCTGCTGAGACACATCAATACTTCTGCTCTGAGGGAATGTGGCTTGTTTTATACAAGAGCAAGCCCTGAACTGTATCTTCACGGGGCGTCAGTGTGACTTTAATGTGCTGTACTCTGCAGGGATAACAAAAAGCTAATCATGCCTCTGAATAAACGCACTTTGCTCATCCCATTTTCTTTAATCTAAGAAAGGAGAGAATCCAACCAAGGGAGAGAAGGGCTTTGTGCTACTTGTGAAGGTCAGAAACAAAAGATCGAAAGACAAAAAAAAAAAAGCACAAATATTACTAACTGCATGACTGCATAACTGCAACAAAGAGAGGGAGAAAGAAATAAAGACCTTTGAGGATAAAATGAAAAACCTGAAGTTGCAGATAGTTATTCTGGGGGAGGGATGGCATTTTTATGACCCTCCCCACCATCAATATCCACCCCTCCCCACCTGCTTCAGGATGACTCTGCAAAGCTGGGGGAAATCAAAGGCAGCCGTACCTGCACATCTATCTTCATCTCAGCAGGGACCAAAGATTTTGTCCTGAACTCAAAAAAGAAAAGAAGATGAAATACATTCTATTAATCATTGTCAACCCAATCTCTATCATTATCTATAAACTCAACTACTCAAATACACTGCAGTTTGATTTTTACAAACAACAGTTTTAAAAAAGGCCTTAAAAATATCTAACCATAAATCTTCTCATTTCTGTTTTTATCTTGATAAAAAACAACAACATTCAAACATATTTATTGAGCAGTAACTTGACGTGCTTTAATAAAATTGCTTGAAAACATTTAAGAGATAAGAAAAAAAGGCTAATGCCACATACAAAGAAAGAAAGAAAAAAAAAAACAGTCTAAAAAAATGACTTGATCACTACAGGCCAGTACAAAAGGATTGTAAAACTGTTTGGACATGGAAAGTTCATAAGAAGAGAAAGCCTCCACCTCCCAGCATGAGTTGCCTGAAGTTAGAGCATATCTTAAAAGGCATGAGGGGGGAAGGCAGTACATTAAAATAAACATATCCCCTTCACAATGTTCTATATGAGAAGGAAGCGCCATTCTTCCATTCAATTCATTCTTAGCTACATTATTGTAATAACTTCAGTTTAGGAAATAAAAATGGGTTGTACATGCAATAAAGTGAAACTACCATATCATAGATTCTAAACTGAAAAAAAATTTGGAGGGGTGTTAGGGAGTCCGATTATTTAGATATTTAAAGATAAACTTAAAAATGCCACCTCAGATAATCCAAACAGAAAATTTGTAAAAATAAAGTGTTATGTGTTATTTTTAGGAAAGTGTAAGGTTAGATTCCAGCCACCTGGTGCACAGATCAACCAGAACAAGCATTATTATTTGTGCATTAACTTTATTTTTATATGTTTATATGTTCAAGAAGACAGGGCATCTGTTGAAAATACCGGAGTTTTATTAATTTATTCTATGGCATAAAGGTTTATTGACTGTGGAGCATGATCAGTTTAAAATAAGTATCTTTATATGGCATAAAAAATGAATAGAAAAATACATACCACAATGCATGATGCTTTAACTACAGTTTAGTTTTCGTCCAAAGATAGATTAAAGCACTCTGAGATTACACTTGGGTATGTATCTAGAAAATCTTTTGTGAACTGATTAAACTGTCGGTTTAAAATATCATCTCCAGCAGCTCAAAATGGTGGAAGGTATATCATGAGTTTTGAGCCGTCTCTGAGTCTTTACAGCTGAGGTTGCAAAAAAAAAAAAAAAATTAAATTAAATATAAAGTCTTTTTAATATATATTTCACTTTTTTATTGAGTTTTTATTGTCTTAACAGACAAACTAAACGTAGAGCAGAACATACACAAAACTAGACAGCGCTAACATGAGAGATGAACATACAGCATGAAAGGAAAGGTGGTGATTCAGCTTTATAGCGCATAGATGCTGTTCAGATTCACAGCAGACCTTTTAAGCGGGTGGAGGAATGGTCTGTTCCAATTTAGTCCAAAAACAGGCGCCATGCTATGTAAAACTGGTCTGCGCTGTGATGTATGACATGAGTTAGATATTCCAGAGGGATTCATTCAAAAACTATTTTATGCCACCCACAGACAGAATGAAATCTCTCACTGACCCACCGCAAAAGGATATTTTTTCTTCTAGTCTTTTAATGTAATATAAATGTATTGGCAGTCTTATAGAAGTTGGTTTGAGCCACAGGCCAACGGACAAGAAAAAAACCAAAATTCTTTTCATAGGATGTCTTTCAAGTTCATATCAACAGAAAAACTTTGAAAAAAAAATCAAGCAACTATTTATAGAGAAAAATCAACAAAAAGAGTTCCACATAAAAACTTCCAGGGAATGTAGTACATCACTCAGCCTTCTTACATATATGTCATATATGAAATCTGACATAGCTCTAAAGTCTGTTGTATCTGTTTGGGTGCTTGTAATGCAGTAGGAACTATTTAGTTGGATGATTAAAGCTAACTTCACATGTTGTAATTTATATTTGCTCTTTTAGGAAAAGTTTAGGAAATTTCATCCAAAGATAATTTAGTGCCAGTGCAATGAGTGAGTTTCAAAAGTCACCTAATTTGTGGACAGAATCCTGATGTATGTTTAAAATCAGTTGTTTAATGAATGCATGAGAGGCTTCATGAAGGGGGCATAAAGGAACAAGGTGCATCTTGGAGAACCATAAATAACGCCGAAAGGTTAAAGTTGTTTAGTTTATGGATCATAAAATAATATCTCAAGCATTAAACACAATGAAAAGCACTGTTCAAAGCATGCAAAATTTAACAATGAAGGTAAGTCAAAACTGTGCATCTACCAGGACTGGTTATAAACTTAAATTTTCAGGCCAGGCAACGGAAGCATTAATCAAGGAATACATTTTCTGGCCCGTGATAACTTTGGCGGAGATTCTTTATCAATGTTTATCAATTGAGAAAAAAAATTGCAAAGAAAAATTATTTCCACTCTTTTACTTCGCAGGATTTTTTTTATTTCCTTCTGCAGTTTAATTCTGATGATTTCAAAATAGATGTATTTCTTTACAGAATCAACCTGGCATATACTTGAATCATTTCTGCACTTTCCTTCTCCTCGAAGCATTTAAACTGTGACACTTTGGAACTTTCACCTGAAAGTTTATCCTTCAATCCCCTTTCAACACAGTAAGCATATCATTTCTGTTTTTCCTCTTTCACCTACTCTTTAATCTTAACAGAGCGGGCTTCCTCCAGGGGAAGACTGCTTTAATTCAGCCTTTTGCACAGATTACAGCTTGAAAGGGGGAATGAAAAAGAAGGAAAACAGCAAACCGAGGGTCTTTTTGATCCACCCAACCAGTAGAAATGAAATAAGTCTGATTATGGCAGAATGTATGTACAGAGTGGTATGGCAAAGAAAGATATGGCAAACATTAAAACAAAACACACTTAATGTTTGAGTCCTTGCGTGGGAGGACGCAGAAATACATTTACACAGTGTCGACCTCTGTCTGCCAGGGTAGCTTCCTCACTGTTCCTGCTGCTAAGATAGTCCCTTTATCCAAAGAAACAATTTTTCGTCTTCCTCCACATTGCTGTGCTTTAAAGCTGCCCGGAGACACAGAAAGGCAAACTTTCTGTGTAGGTCCACGGTGCT